CAGTCAAGAGAGTGAGCGCATTAACCAACGAAGAAGAAGGAGCAAGGAGGGGAAGAAGTGAGAGTGTGTGTGTTTGTGTGTGTGTGTGTGTGTGTGTGTGTGTGCGTCTACAGTATGAATGTCAAGAGCAATGCTGCAGCGCCGAGGGCAGAGAGAGAGAGAGACACACACACACACACACACACACACACACACACACACACACACACACACACACACACACACACACACACACACACACACACACACACACACACACACACACACACACACACACACACACACGGCAATATATTGTGAATGAAGTGCAGAGCGACATCATGTGTTCAGCTACAAATGGTGATGTTTTCAGTTTACGAGATAGAAATAAATGTGTGTGTGTGTGTGTGTGTGTGTGTTGTGTGCGTGTTTGTGTGTGTAGTTCTTTGCACTTATTGCCAGAGAATCGTAGTGAAAACACTCAAAAAGAAGGTCATGATACGTTCAGTTTACCCTTCCAAAAAAGATCATTTTGGTTACATGATCCTGTTTAAAACTGTCAGAGTATCAATCTTATTAGTGACTTAGTGACATTGGATTGAGTCTTTTGCATCACGACACTAACACACTTTGTGTTTGACGACATTTCAACCAACTTCACTCATGAACTCTTGACTCGTTCAAGAGTCTAGACTCTGATGTTTGGGTTCACTTTCCAGCTACTACTATTATGGAAATTTGAGAATTTTTGTGAAGAATAAAAAAAAAAAAAAACCTCTGTCTGAAAAGATTATGTCTGATTAAAGAAAATCAGTACTTTAGTGGTGGTGCAGTATTCAATCTACAAAGTTTTAAACAAACGTTTTAGCGAACAAAAACATATATTATTGTATATACTGTATATATTACACTTTTAGAAATTCTTGGTTTAATTATATGCCACATCATCAAATGTTAGGGCTACAATTATCCTGAGACTGGATGAACTAAAACACAGAAACCCTGCATTTTGTGTGTGTGTGTGTGTGTGTGTGTGTGCGCGTGTGCGTTATTGTGAGCGTGTGACTGTGTGTGATGGAGCTACTACTTCCTCTGACTGTGTTAGGACCTCAGCATCAATTTAACCTACCGCTGCTCCTGCTCCTACTGTGTCTCACACACACACACACACACACACACACACCACACACACACACACACACACACACACACACACACACACACACACACACACACACACACACACACACACACACACACACAGTGTAAAATGGCCAAAGGCTCTTCCATCTCTCTGCGTGCATCCTGAAACCGCCTATTTCAGTCGTGATGCGCTGCAGGAAATGGATTTAGAAAAGCACACATATACACACACAAGCGCGCACACACACACACACACACACAAACACACACACACACCACACACATGAGAGACAGGTTAACGGTGAGAGAGATTTGTGATGCACAGTGTTCAATAATGTAGGAGGTGTCAGAGTGTTTCGCAGGAAAAAAGGCTGAAAGCTTGACTCTCTTTCTCTCTTACCCCTCCTCATGATCTGACCTGCAGCTCCCCCCTTTGGCAGGGGAGGAAACTACAGCCGCAGGACAAACTTCACAGATCCAATCCAGAGCACAAAACTTGAAGCAAAACATTGCATTAACAACTACTTGTGATCTCAAGGGGTATACCTACCTACCTTTCTCGAGATTAATTTTTTAGATCATGCCAGATTTAGCTGTGATGTCTTTATATGTCTTGTACCTCCAACATATGAAGATGATGTCTGTGCTGAGGTGAAGATCAGGTGTAAATGTTATGTTATTGGAACAACAGCGCTGCGAGCTAAAGCTAGCATAGTTGTGATAGAGGCACAACAGAAAATCAGGCTGTGTCCGAAAACACTCACTACATAGTGTATACATAGTGAATAGAGTGACTATAAAATTGTTTTATTTAAAATTCAAGATTGTTATCTTCTGAGACTTTAAATGATTCATAACTTTCAAAAATCGTTTTGGGGGGCTAATCAGACACAAGTGCTAAGTGCTAAGGCTCGCTCTTTCACTCAGTAAAATGCCAAATGGCGCAAAAAGAAATTCAGCCACTCTCACAGATGACTGGAGTCATAGATCCAGTAGTATACTAATTCAAAAAATAGACTTTGAATCCATGAATCCATTAAAACCAGAATCGTTTTAAATCAAAAATAGATTATGAATCGAATCGTGACCCCAAGAATCGAAATCGAATCGTGAGACACCCAAAGATTCCCAGCCCTAATAGTGAATATGAATTTTTTGCCATTGGGTGTAGGAATTCTGAGTGTCCACTCATTAAATCCCACAACGCACTGTGAAAAATAGTGTACAACCCATAATTACTATCCAAGCAATATACTGTATACCATCATGCCTTGCGGTTTAAATCTTGTTTTTTTTGGTGTTTTTTTTTTTTTGGAGAATGGCGTTTGACTTCTCTCAGACGGACAAGAGGAACTACCAGCGTGAACACAAAACACAAAAAAAGTTCATATTTGGAGACTGTTACTATTTTACGATAACCTAAAAGCTGTTTTAATAAACAGTAAAAGATTTTCCACAGAGTAATGTTAGTTTATCGTCATGATGAAGACAGGCACGAGATAAATTAGTTTTGGTGCATTTTAGTTCGGCAACAAAAACTGACGTCACAGTCTGCGGCCGGCGAGTGAGATCACTACATAGTCCACTACATATAACTCCCTATATAGTGAGTAGGGAGTAGGGAATGAGTGTATGACTTTTGGCACAACCTAGGCAGTTTGATTAGCATTCACATAATTTAACATGCTAACAATAGCCAATGTAAAATAGCTCCACAGCGATAAGTGTCCTGAGTTCTTTCATTTGATGAAAGATGTTCAGTTTAATTCTAACGACCGAAACAGAGGACTGAACGAGAGCTGTGGTTTCAAGGTTTGTTGAGAGATTGATCCAGTGATAGCCTCAGACTGTATCATTATATCAAAACACAAATATTAAATGACGGGGAATAACATATTGTGACAGAGTTTTCACGATCCGAGAGTGAGAAACTCTAACCTCTGGTAAACATAAACAGACATAAAGAACAAAAAGCGTGGTGGATAGTTGAGATTATTTGCTTGAATTGTTTCGAATTTTAGTTCAAAAGATTGAAACTTGAAGAGAAACTAAATTTTATGTTGATTGGCTGTTAGTTCGGCTCACTTCACTTTTCAGGTTGCCTGCCACAAACACAATTCAGTGTGAAGTATGTCGATATAAAGAGACGTTTTCTTAACCTGGTACACACACACACACACACACACACACACACACACACACAAACACACACACTGGTGGTGCTGGAGTGATCCGGCTGCTCTTTGCGTCTTAAAGCATGTATTATTGATTGGAACAAGCAGCGGTGAAGTCGAGTGCGGCGCTACAGCTTTGTTCAAGGGCAGAGCTGCAAGCTAGCCACTTTGCAGACTGACAGGAGAGAGAGAGAGGGGGGCGAGAGACAGAGAAAGATGGGGAGGTGTTTGCTCGTGTGTGTTTGAGTTTCATATTGTAAACCTGCTCGCTCTTTCTTCTGACGTTGTGTTCTGTGTCCGACACCCTGCAGGACCGATCGACAAATCAATCCCTGACCTGCATGTTGACACACACAGGCCAGAGAAAGTGTGTGTGTGAGAGAGAGAGAGAGAGAGAGAGAGAGAGAGAGAGAGAGAGAGAGAGAGAGAGAGAGATCCTATTCAGACTTTTGCTGAGTGTAATGCAGTTGTGTAAAGTTGACTTTTCATGTCACAGCGTGTCCTCCAGCAACAAACTCAGCATCGTATTACCGTAATTGCAGTAATGTGCCTCCTGAAACAGCTTCGCTAGTGATGTAAGTGTTTTCTACAATCTACTGTTCCATTTATCAGATGCTTTTCACATTACCCATAAGAACTTCCCGGAGTTGTAAGAGACGTCTTCAAACTGCTTCTTTGCTCCAACAAAAAGTCCAAAAAAAAAAAAAAAATTGAATTCACATCATTGATAAATAAATTCATAAAGTAATTAAAGGCCCCAAAAATGTAGATGAATTAGCCTGAAATATTTGAGTTTGGTTTTCCTCTTCGTTCAACTTATTGATCATTATTTAAATAGTATTGTTTGCAGCTCTATCCGAACCAGTAATGGCAGTTAACGTGTCCTAAAAGCTGTACCACTTGACAGTTAAGAAATTTATAGCAGATCCTGACTATATATGAGGAAATATATCCTTTGTCATACTGATCCATTTTTAAGCCTGATTTAAGGTGCAATTAACCATTATTTGTTTTGGACTTTTTTTTTTACATTGAATTGTTTTTTTCTTTGAATGTGCTGACTTGTGATGTTCCCAGATGACTAGTTTCCAAGTTGGTTAGACAAAAAACCTTAACTTCATCCTCTGCCTGAAACAGTGCGTTTCAGCTGCTGTCTCTTTAAGGCCCCCCTCCCCACAGGACCACTTTATTTCTATTCCAGGTCAAAAATTATCCTTCAGTTGCGCCGGACAGCCTAGTGGTTATGTCACGCCCCCATGTAGAAGGTTATAGTCCCTATCACAGCAGCCGTGGGTTTGAGTCCGACCTCAGCCCTTTGCTGAATACCATCCCACTCTCTCCCCCCAACATTTCCCGTCTCTCTTTAGCTCTTCAATCCTATAAAGGCAAAAATGGCTCAAAAAGACTGAAAATAAAATCCTTCAGATGGAATTTCAGTTATTTGTGTATCGTGTGTATTTTCCTCTCTCCGGTTAGTGTGTGCATCATTCTCCAGTTCACACAGCAGGATATTCTCCAGCAGTTAAAATGTAGCTGTAAACTGATGCAGTGAGGATCAAAGCTCCACCAGACCCTTCAAAACAAACCATTTCTTCCTCCTCCCACTCATATAAGGCCTACAACTCCCAGCATGTGTTTAATCTCAGGACGCCCTACAAACAGGCACAATTCCAAGTGTTTGTGAGTGTATGTGTGTGTTCTGACCAGAGTTCAGCAGCTCCTGCTCCATCACTCCGCAGCCCAGCACCTCCATCCAGTCTCCCTGGAAACGCACCTCCATCTCAAAGGAGGGATGAGTGAAGGGGAAGTAACAGTCGACCCACCGGATCTCCAGATCTGAGGAGGGGGAGAGGAGGGAGAGGATGGTGTGCAGGAGTGAGTTTTATAGCTAACAGTGAAATAAAACTATTCAACCCTTCTCCTTGGATATTTCGGCGCTCTCACCTTCTCCGAACAGGTGTGTGACGAGTCTGGTCAGAGTGTGTTTCAGGTCGAATTCCACCAGCTTGACGGCCTCCAGAGTGTGGGCCTCCTGTTTGTTTGGCGTCCGCCGACCTCCCCGCTCAAACAGAGACAGCTCCTCGCCGTTCTGCACCTTCGAAAACAGCTGGAAGAGAAATGTGAAACGTCTAACACATTACGCCACAGAAATATCGGAGAAATGTCAAAGAGTCCGGGCAGAAACTGTGCTATTGCTTAAATGTGGTGGTGGAACATCATGTCACACTGTGCAAGAGTGAAGCATTAAGACGCACAAGCAAATCTCATGATTTACGAGCTCTCACTTCATAACTTAAATCCGGAGGGTGCACTGACTGTTGTCGATAAAGTTTTCTTTAGAAAACTGCCACAGACAGAAGTTGACAGCAGATCAATGTGTATTTCAGTTTTCTTATTTGCCTGGCTTAAATACTAACACCATCAAAAGAGCTCTAGCTCTCTCTCACACATATTCACACATACAAATATTCCCTGTCAACTGGACAGTTGGAGGTCTGCAAAAAAAAAACAAAAAACTTGGAGCTAGTTGATGTGCTC